CCTCCCCTTTATCAAGAGATACTTTTTTTCCATTTTATTGTTATTGTTTTTTTGACATATTCTGCTTTGTTTTTAAATCATACACAGATTGATTATATTATAACCATAGGCACCTAACACAAATTTATAACTACTTTAGAAAGACTAAGCATTTCTGCCCCCACCTCACACACAATTTTATTACAGTAAATGTACATTTTGGCGATTAGACGGACCTGTTGTATGAATTAGTAAACACGTTTTGAGAAATTAGTACTTGAAGTTGAAGTGGGAAATTCAGAGAAATTAATTATAACTTGATATAAGCTTTCTAGTAGCCTTTATACTGTTCACATTAAGAATCTAATATATAAAGCTAAGTTTGTATATGTCTGTTCGCACCTCTCACCGTCTCAATCCCTGTAAAAGTAGGCCTATAAAGATATGGAACCAGTGTACACAGGTGTAATGTGTTGACATGTATTGTTACATGAAAAGCGAAATCCTGCTCCTTTCTGTGTAAAAATAGCTGACCATCGGCCCTGTGTTCAGGTAATACCGAATTCTTACTCCTTTTTGTTTTTGCTAAAGTTCTACAATAATAATTCCATTCAATAATAGTCTTCATTATGAGAAACAGACAAACTATAAAGTATGTATGGCCATGCTGCCCTATGATGTCAGTTGGGTGTACGCACTACCATCAATGTTTGCGACCTTTAATCCAAGAACACCCGAAGTTGGGCCTACTTAGCAATATCACCAAGCGCCAAAGCAGAATTGTCACATATAAAGCTTTATGTACTATGCCTAATATCGTATGATAAGTATAATTAATTATCATGCTTCACCAGCTTGAAAGTCTTAAGAAACAGTAGAACATTTGTTGTTTTCACTAAATGTGCAGAGTGTCTTAAATGTCATAAACGAATCTAGGTATTAAAGACAAGGTTAAAAAAGGCAAAAGTAAAAAAGTCAAAGAAAATTACACAAACAGGTGAAAAAAAAAGTCAAAAAGTATTTTGGAAAACAGTATCAATAACAGCTAAGCCAAGCAGCTATAGCATATTGACGGACTATTAATTCATAACGGGGTTTACGCATGTATGTGATAATAAAAGAAGTAAAATGCATATTTCCATACGATATATTAATTCCTCTCACATAAATAGCTATTCTCGTTCAGTGCTGCCCTCTATATGTACATTTTGTTTACACATACCACGAGCCTTCTATCTCCTCTCCATGAGAAATGACTGATTCCAATGCGTCTTTAATGCAAATCATCACGCCTCTATTCCTTACCTGTCTTGGTTCTTATCTACCTGTCCCCGTTCCAGGGGTTTCTCATGTAGTTTATTCAACGTTGATGGGCATGTCGCCAGTGGTACTGGAGACTAACTAGAGGGTTCTGGTCATGTAGGAGCTTGACTATATATTGTTACCCTTTGGTGATCTTTCCCTAAAGTTCCATGGATTTTTCGGTTTTTTATTGAAGGGACTTGTCCTACTATTTCATTCCCCACCTCCTTTGTCCCTGGTACCCTTTTCCTTCCCCATGACTTGTGATCATGCCACCAGCCTGTGTCTGTCTGAGGAGGTAAAATGTTCGGTCTCTACAAGTCTTTGCATCTGTTCATCTTTCTCCAGGCTTTTATTCCAAGCTGTTTGTTATCCTCGCGCCAAACCAGAAACTGGCGACCTGTACTAGGTTTGTCCCGCCTCATTCTAGTTTTCAATCTGCCCCGTTTTACTTTGGAGTCGTTTCTCACCCTTAGGTGGGCTTTTTCTCCAGGTTTATCGAAGACAAAGAGGAACGTCGCGAATGATTATTTGCATATCCTGATATTTCGTCACCCGCGATATTTCTTTGGTTTATTCTACATGGGATGGTTTCTCTGTTTTGCACACTACAACTTAGACTTGCTTTGGCCCTGTATGTTTTATCGGGCGTTCAGAGCATTTGGTCATCACACACACACACATATGTGTATATATATATGCGCTCTCGGGTTGTGCTTTCCTCTTTCTTTGGTCGACTGGCTACTATTCGTTTGCTTGGAACAGAAGTACACCTGATACCCTTATAAGCTGCTCATGGAGGCAGTTATAATGGGCTGTTAATCAAGTTTGAGAAGTCCTTACTGCGTCCTATCTAATATCTTGTCCATTTGGGTGTTGTTTTTTTTCTACACCCATCTTTGATGGGTTTTTCAGTTTGATTACAGCTTGTGAAGTTCTATCACCTTTGGGGATGTGATCTTCCATGGTAGCCCTTATCCCCTTCAGTGAGGCTCATATACGGGCTCTTTTGTGGCCTTTTCATGACCAGTGGAATTTTGCAGGGATCCTTTCTCAGCTCTTATTACCCTTCCTCTTACCCTTGTCGTCGATTGGCATAGGTGGTTAGACACGACTCGAAAATTGGTAGGTGTCCTGCTTTCTCCTCCTCATCAGGTTTCCCACATTTCATGAATGCATCCCTTCTGGAATTGGGGGCATGGGTTGATCAATTGGAAGATTCGAGGTTTTTGTTCTGTGGCTGAGAGGTCTTATACTATCAACGCCTTGGAGCTTTTTTCTGTAAGTCATGTTTTGATTCATTTTCTCCATTTGGCCAGAAATCGTCTGATAATTATCCATTCCAACTTATTTTCAGTAGTTGCTTATCTCAGTCGCCAGGGCAGCACCCATTCTTCATCCTTCTGTCTTTATACATTGATCTTCTCTTTAGGCCCACACTTTCGATATTTCTGTCATTGCGTGGCCTGTTCCGGGTGCCTTTGCTCTTGTTGTGGGTTGGATTCCTGTCTAGGTACCATTTATCCAATAGAGTGGTCCCTCGATCCTTTTGTTTTCCAGTGACTTTGACTTGAGTGAGGTACTTCTCACATTGAGGCTTTGGCTACGTCCCTTAACCACAAATTGCCTTGGTTTTGGTCTCCAGTTCCTCGTCTTCTTGCTCTGGCTAGCGATATTTTTAACCAGGACTGGACCTACACATTTGTCTATCTTCCCGTTCTTTGTTTTCCTGATAATTTCGTTCATCATTAACACTCTATGTTCAGTCTTTCTGATAGCTCTTTCCTGGCCATCTCAGCCGTGGTTTCTGTGGCTACTCCAGCTCCAACTTCCTTCCCTGTTACCTTTACCTCTGTCTCCACCCATTCTTTGCCACCCTCAGTCACTAGTGTTTCATCCAGACCTTCCTGTCCTCTGTCTTCACGTCTGATTTTCCTCTGGTAATTGGCGAGATAATCCGGCTTCACCCGATGGTTAGCCTCTTTTCTGGCTTGTTTCATTCACCCTTCCTACATGGAAGTTTCTCAACGTAAATCAACTCACTATTCTTAGTTAGACGGATTTCCTCTCTTGACTTTTGGATCGGGGATCTTCTGTT